TGACAGACAGCTGTTTAGACATCGTTGTTGCCCTAAATAACCCGTTGCCTGAAACTTTTCTCATCTATGGATATAGTCAAGTTTTGGAGTTCTTACATTTTTTTTTGTCACTGTTTATCTCATGAAAACAGCGTTTTAGCCGGCAGACTTACTTTATCTGCTCCTATTTCTACTCAATCTGCATTTACTCCTCCCTCTGCCTTGTCACCCTGTTTTATTTTTGGCGTTCTTTTCCCTCCATTGTGAGAAGAAGCGTTTGTGTATGTAGGGAGACGGGGGGAGTGATTGACGGAGGCAGGGTTAGGTTTCAGTTCCCCCTTATCTTTTAATGGCCTGGTCTTTGTGTCGGCCCCCCACCACCTGAGGCAAACACAATACAATACGCACACACACACACGTGACACGAGAGCCCTTCAAAGGCGAACCTGTCAATGGACCGGCTGTCACCTCCCTCCTGTGGCGCCCCGGCTGTGATTGATAACTCCATCCTCTCCCATCCTCCCTCCCGCCTTGTTCATGTGGTCCACCTCCAGCTAGTCCAAACAGACAGACGCAGCAGAATGACAGCAATAAAATACAGACGCATTTTGTTTTTCATGTTTTCTAATGAAAAGCAGGGCTCTGTCATGTGTTGTGTACAAATCTGCCTAGCCGTGCTGTGAATGCATGACTTTGAAACATGAGAAGAAAGACATACAATAAAATCATGTTGGCTTGTATTTGAAGGAGCTTTCACTGGTATAACTACAGAGCCGTGATCCCCACTTTACCATTTCATACAAGCAAACATCTTTAACTCTTAAGATCTTAAGATTTCTTATCATTCTCACGTATAGGCTAACCAAAAAGAAGGTAAAAGTAGAGCCCTGACAGATATTAGCTATTTGCCAATAGATATTGGTATCGGTACTAAAATAAAATGTTTATACTTTGGCCTAGAGTGCAAGGGGTGTTTTACTCCACAGACACCTCTAGCAGCTTTTAAGGTGGGATGAGAGGGGATAATGTTCTGAAATATGTATACAGATGAAATACCTTTGGGGGGAAAAAAAGAGACAGGCGGGAAATAAAGCTATGAAGAGAAATGTGAGTGAAAGCTGGACAAATAATGGGCACATCAGAAAGAGCCACACTCTAATGGGAAAATAGACAAAAAAACAGAACACAGTTTAACGTGTGCTGAGGCAGCTGTAGAGCTCTTTGAACTGAGGGAGAGGGTGGCCATGTTTCTTCCCACAGCTGCATCCCAGTATGCTAGCGGTGGAACTAGACACCACTGTACCAAACCTCAGATCTACAGCTGGGGGTTTAAAGACTTAAACACACATGTGCTCAATATACACTCACTTGCTTCTCCATACTTCTCCATCATGCACATTAAAACACCTTTTTACCCCCAAAAATGAAGTCTGGCATTTTTAAAAAAGCGATAGCCAAATAAAAGGCTATTTTTATATGTCCTGATGGGATTTTATTCCATCCCAGTGACCCCACCTTCTACCTCATACTGTCCAGCCATCTGCTAGCAGAAATCAAGGAGCCATCCCTGCTTTGCATTTCATGTCTGCCATCTCTCTCTCGCTCGCTCTCTACTCGCTCTAAACTGTTGTTTATCTCAGGATGTAGTGGCTTTGGTTTTGGTTTGCACATATCCTTTGCTGAATCTCAGTCGTTGTGCTGAGAGCAGTCTACAAAAGTGCAGCGGATTTTAAAAGTATAGTAATCTAGACAGTTGATTGGCTCCCTAATGAATAGCGACGGTTTCCGCAAATAGCTTTGGTCTGACCAGCCAAATGTTTTACTGCACAGCTAGCATCTGAATGTTTGGCCTCTTCATAGCATGGAGTGTGGGTGCGCCCACGTCCCTGCATGTGTTGGCTTGTACTTTCTGATAATTTTATTTTCTCTCTCTCTCTCTCTGTGCGTGTGTGTGTGTGCGTTTTGGGAAAATCATTTATACTATGTTAGCTGTAATAGTGTTTTTAACAATGAAAGGATTCTGACCTGACAACAGCAGTTCTGTTCTGTTTAAACTCGGTCAGCATGCCACCCACTGTTGTTTCTTACAATGAGTCCTTTTTCTAAAACAGACGTAGTCACATGGCTGTTGTAAGATTGGTCACTCTATGACATCTAACATGTCTCAATTGTCTCTCCCTGCTTCTTCTGTGCATCTCAGGTTTCTAAAGTAAACGGGCTGACACGGGCGGGCTCGGCACAAGCCGTCAATGGTGCCAAAAAGAGCCGCGACTTCCGACTGCCCTCCAAAACTGTGAAGAAGTACACAGCCACCGTGTCCAAGGGCCACGTCACCTACACCAAAGCCAAACAGAAAGAACTGGGCAAGAAAACCAAACTCAGCAGCAGCAACAAACACAACAGCGCCGCCTCGGCACCATCGTCAGCGAACAATCACAATCAGCACAGCCAGCCAGCAGCCAGCAATGGGCTGGCCAACTCAGGAAAAGCAGCGGCACCAGCCCACCACAGCAATGCAAAAACCCGCAAACAGGTGCTACTATCCAATGGGCTGCACAATGTGGCTGCCGGCGGCCGTCCCAACGGCAGGCTAAATGGGCAGCGGCACAACACCCTGGCCAAGGAGGATGCGCAGAAACTGTGCCAGCAGGGCCAGGGGGAGTGCCATGGTCGAGAAGGACTGCGGAACTCCAAGCGGCGTCTGGAGGTGCTGCTCAACTCGGTGGGGACGGGGGTGGTTGAGCACAAAGCCAAAACACATGGCACTGAGGCCAAGAAGGCCAAGCTCCAATCCACTCCTTTGGAAACCCGCAGCAGCAGCAAGAAGGTGGCCAATCAAGAGAAAGCCACCACGCAAAACACCTCGTCTACTACTCCAATTTCTAATGGACACGAATCAGAAACACCCCCTTCTCCTAAACAAACTCAACCTGTTACCCCACCTCCATCTTCTACTCTCTCTCCTCAACAAACCCTGCCTCCTTCTACACCAGCAGCCAACGCGGAGCCGGTGAACCAGCGACCTAAGCGGGCATCGGCTGGCAAGCTGATGTTGATACGACAAGCACAGCAGCAGAGCAGGTCTCATGGTCGGAGTGCCTCCTCCCCCTCATTAGGCCAGAATCACTCACCGAACCCCAGTCACGTCAGCACTACCTCAGACCCCCAACAAACCTCTGTGTCCTCCTCCACCTCTTCTCCTCTTACTTCCACCAACAGCCCTGGACAGCTCAAACCGGCAGCATTGCGGGCTGTTGACCGTGACAAGGAGTGGGAGCGTGAGAAAGAGCTGACGCGTCAGAAGGAACGCGAGCAAGAGAAGGAGTGGGAGCGCCACCGGAGTAAGCCGGAGGGCTGGGCAGCCCTGGGTGAAGTCCCCATTTTCCGGCCGGCTCCAAGGGAGTTTCAGGACCCCCTGGTGTACTTGGATGCAGTGAGGGAACAGGCCGAGGTGGCTGGCATGTGCCGTGTGGCGCCACCACCAGACTGGCGACCAGAGTGTAAGCTGAGTGAGGAGATGCGTTTTGTTACACAGGTGCAGAGAGTCCACATGCTGGGCCGGCGCTGGGGCCCCAATGTGCAGCGGCTGGCTTGCATCCGCAAGCACCTTAAATCTCAGGGCATTACCATGGATGAGCCACCTGTCATTGGTAAGTGAACACGCACATGTGTATGTACAGTAGCAGTACTGTATGCAAGGGTGTTAAGTGTAAGATGCTGTGTTGTTTGTTTGGAGTTGACTTTTTTTTTTCTTTAGGGATGTTAAAGCTCTGCAAAATTGCAAGCTGCACCTGAACCGTCTAAAATGCTTAGTTGGCTGACGAAACCCTTGTTTGCAAAACATTTGCAAAGATGCCAGCTTAGCATGCCCACAAACAAGGAGCAGCTGCCTCAAAAAGTCTTGACCATGATGACACCACATGTTTTTTTTGTTTTGTTTTGTTTTTTTGTTTTTTTGTTTTTTTTCTGGCACAACTGAACATAAAAGTCAGAAGAGCTGAAGATCCAGTGAATTGTTGTTTCTGGTCACACAGTGCTCTCATATTGCTGAAGGGGGAACTCAGAATTGCTGATTCTTTGTGTAAGCATGAAAAATAAATGGTGTGATGTGGTGCAATGGCATAGTTTGTGCCATTTAGAATCATGCGCTGATTTCTGTTGCTGCATTGCTGAATTCAAGCACTCTTTATTAATTTCATTGTCAAATTTCCTGCCGACCAATAAGAATGGACTTGATTTTTCAGAAGGCCATTAAAGAAACATGAGATATGTTTCAGAGGGAGAAATGAGTGCAACAGCAATGTTATAGCATGAGAGAATATGATGTGATTTAGTTTTTATTTTTTCTATATGAAAGAATTTAAAGCTGTTCTATCATACTCCCGAATGTATTTATGAAACTGTAAATGAGCGTACTGTGAGCATATAAAGTATGTGCAGAGTTTGAGTGATGAGCAATAGGCCACAGGTTTCTTCCTGCACACTGTCACGTAGAACCAGAGCTTACTTTCTAAGAGTGATTATTAGCAAACAAGTAAACAGACATAAACACAAGCACACTCAACCCAGTCAAAACATGGCTATCCACATCCCTCAATAAACAATTTTTTTATGATGTGCAAGTACAGGTTACGAAATAGCAACATTGGCTCAGTACTTTATCGACGCACACACAGAGTATGGTTTGTCACAGAACTCTCCTAATTCAATTTCTCCTGGATCCTGGTCATTCGCATGTTGCTGTTTATGGTGATAAGTACAACAAAGAAGATGATTTACAATCACAAAAACCTTTGTATTCTGCAGTTTAACTGTGGTTTGGCCTCCTTTGCTCTATAAAACTGTTTACTGTGACACTTATGTACCACTTATTGTTTCCATTGATATCACTGGTTCTCCGAGAGCTTCAGCAGTATTCGGCCTGATTTGTATCTCGCCGTTTTATAGATGACAGCAACAATGTGGAACATATCAGAAAGGAGCCTGGCGGCCAATGAAAACAATATTTCTCTCAGATTGCTCAGTCACCTTCTATTTCTCATGATGACATAAGCGTTTTATGAGCATTTAAACAGCCTCGGGTCGGGACGGAAATCCAATGTGTGAGCTTTGTGCATGTGCAAATTCTCATGTGTGCAAACAAGTGGCTGTTTAGTTTTGCCCTGGTTGAATTTGTGCAGTCTCTTGTGCTGTGTGTAGCTTTTATATACAGCTGAATACAGATTTGAGCCAGGGCTAGAGTGAGGGCTGTTGGTTTGCGGCTGTTGGCCAGAGAAACCTGGCAGCCAACGGTCCACAGCGCAGCCAGCCAGGGTACCCTGGTTTCAAATGACTTCTTTTACTGTCCCCAGCAGATCAGTTCTACATTAACAGTAATTTGTGTCTGTGTTTGGCACAATGAAGGTTCAGATCCGTTTTGAAAGGTGGATTGGCTGTTTCAAATAAAATGAACTGGGCAGGAGGGAACGGCATGTTTAGCCAAAGGAGCAGATGGCCCAAGATGGCATTTTTTTTTTTTTTAGATTAGCTTGATTTCTGCGACTTTTTAAAAAGCGGAGTTTATATTAGTGAAAACTGCAAACTTCTTTATGTACACGACATTATTTTATGAGTCAAAATTGTTATTTTATATCACTTTTTCATGTTAGCCTATGAAACAAATGTTCTGTTGAACGCACTCCAAAACCACCACTTGCCGCTGGTTTTATAAGTACTGCTCATGTTCTCCTCTTACTGAACCTTCTTTCTCTGCTCCATGCAGGTGGCTGCGAAGTGGACCTGTCTCGTTTTTTCCAGCTCATCAATGACATGGGCGGCATGCAGCAGGTGATGGACCTGAAGAAGTGGACCAAGCTCGCCGACCTCCTGCGCATCCCCAAGTCTGCACAGGATCGGCTGGCCAAGCTGCAGGAGGCTTACCTGCAGTACATCTTGTCCTACGACTCACTCGGTGCTGAGGAGCGCTTGGGACTGCAGACTGATGTGCTGCAGGAGAAAAAGGACCTGGAGTCTCGCCGCGGCCCTTTGGAGGGCCTCGCAGATTCTTCAGCGCCTGGCGCTTTCTCTCTGCCGCGCTACGAGCCCAAAAATGGGCTCGTGGGCGGGATAGTGGGAGGGGCAACAGGAAACCACCGCACCAATGGAGTGTATCACCATCTGAAGGAACTGGAGGCTCAGGTCAAAGCGGGCCGGCGCCGGCTCTTCGCTCAGGAAAAACAAGGCAAAGAGGACAGGCAGCATGCGGAAGAGCAGGAGGTGGAGGACAGGGGTGTTCTCAGTGACCAGCACAAATGTATTTACAAGGTGAGGATGAAGACGACACTTGCTGTTTATGGCACACATTTGAAGCATACAGACAAGAGGCACGTAAGTTTACCTTTTGTTATTGCTTATGCATACGTTTCTGCTCTCTGCACTTTTCTTGTGATAAGTCATTAAATGATGTTAACACCTTTTGTCTCTTATTGACCTGCTGTTTAAAGATCAGCTCCAAGGCATGGAAACGCGTGGCGTCTACCTTATTTCCTTATGTTATGGTCGCCCTTGGTATTATTTTCATACCACTTTGGCAGGCATTGTTTGCATCCTTTGGTCCAACCTGATGTACATTGTTTATATGGTAAATGTGCGGTTCGAGCGATCTTTTCTGGCCTGTCGTCAGTGCCAGAGCACCTTTTAGAGACTCTTCAGTGAATCAAGATGTCTATCGCTCATGAGGTGTAAACATTCAACACTTAATTTGACTGTTTTCTCTGTCACATCTTAAGCGACCCAATATACACCCTGTTTGCTTGCGCTATATATTGTTTTCAACAAAGTGGATTTCACTCGGAGACATTGTTGGGATGTTGTTAACCACACAGATGTGAGTGCCTATTGGATTTTCTTACTGTGCTCTTGGTAACAATATCGTGCTGTTAACTGCCACAGTTCGTGGTTTGTTTAAGCAAACCTCAGAAGTATGCACACCTGCTTTTACACAGAAATAGTTGGGCCATTGAAGTGAGGGGTCGGCAGTTTTATTTTCTTGTGGTTTTGTTTTAATATTTCTGTGCAGCTGTGTTTGGTAAGGTGGTCTGTAGAGTTGCTCGTGTGCGTATTTGTGGACCACATAAGATGCATTTCCCCAGCCTGCTTGCAGGCCTGCTGATTATGGCTGGCTGAAAATGTAGGTCAGAGAAATGGCAGTCCCCAAAACAGCCCGTACCCATCCCCCCCCACACTTCCAAAGCCCCGCCTCCACAAGCTTTCATAACCCTTCAGCTCCTTGCGTCCAGCCCTCTCCTCATGGCTTCTCTCCTTCAGCCCATGTCCTTGCTCTCAGCTATTTTTCCAAATATCCAGTCCTCTCCACAGCCCCCCACCTAGTTTCTCTCACTCTTGCCAAATTCTCTGCATACCTATTCGACCCCCAGTAGTTTGTGCGCATGTGGAAATTTGAAATTGTTCACTCTGTGTGCACAAAAATGGGCCATGTGACTGTTTGTGTACATTTATTTGGAAGCAGCATCTTGGGTCGAAACTGTAATTAAACTTTCTGTGTTCACTCACTGCACAATACTCCACCCATCTCCAATCTGGATCTCATTTGATTTTTTTTCTCTCCTTTCCTTTTGGTAAATAAATCCCTCTGTATGAACCCCCCTCAACAAACGTGACCCCGTAGTTATACAAGTACTGCTCAGTGCACAGTGACATGTGAATGGCTGTCACTGTCCTGACTTGGAAGTCCTGTCAAAACGTGACTCATCACTTTTTTGCAGAGCTCAGATTTGTGGCTATTATTCATCACAAGTGCCCCCCCAAGAGGAGCTTATGTTTCACTTTTTCGATCGAGAGGACAAAGTGCACGTCAAGGGTGTAATTAACTGTAATTACACTGGGAAAAAGCTCGAAAAAGCGCTGCTACTGAATGACAAAAAGTCTTGTCAGTGCATCAGACTGTAATTTAACTGCATTGTTTCACAACCCTGAAGCTAGTGCAATCATAAAAAGAACTAAGTCAGATAGTACTTGCAAACACATAAGAGGGAAAAAGAAGAAAAAAACAAAATGTCACTGTGAACATTAGGAATCCACAAGGTCATCCTTCAGCCTGGTCTGCACGTCTTCAGGCTCAGAGTTGGCAGATTTATGGTCACCTTCAAAGATTCTGTGTAGCAGGGTGTCAGTGGGAGAGGGTCAAGTCCAGGGGAATTGTGTCTCACACTAACAAAGGGAGTAGAGATCCTTGTAGAAACACACACAGTCAAACATGCAATGTTTTATCCTTATTGCCCTCCATTTGACTTCTTTCCTCATGCATCATGGGAAAAATAGATTCTACTGATGATTAATCTTAAATTCATGTGATTTGCAGGGGAAATCGGTGTCTTTGACCAACTTCTTCAGGATAGCGCGGAACACCATGACCATGTGCTTTAACAAGGAACCGTCTGCTGCTGAGGTTGAGGTTAGCATCCTGTCATCTTTATCAAACATCATCTTCATTATCTAAAGTAGCTTTCAGTGTTAAATCTTTGTTGTAATTACTTTTTTTTAATGAGAAAACATTTAGCCCTATCAAATAATACATCTGTTAATGAAATCAAGCAGACCGTATCTTTAAGATCATTTTTAAAAGGTGAGTTGGTTTCTCCTCGATGTCAGCTACCAGCATGACTGACCATGAGGAATCCTGTACTCTGTGTCATGCATACTTTCTCTTACCAGTTTTCTGTTTTTGTCCTCTTGCAGCAAGAATACTGGAGGATTGTGGAACAGAGAGATTGCCATGTGGCAGTGCATTGTGGGAAGGTGGACACCAGTACACATGGCAGTGGTTTCCCCACAGGAAAGTCAGAGCCATTTTCAAAGTAAGTGTTTCTCATCCATCTTGTGAGTTTGGGTACATTTTTCTACCTGCAGCAAAGTCTTTACCTGATCACAGGTCAGATAAAACTTTTTAACAGTCAAACTATCGGCTTCCTCAAAAGTCATTCTTATAAAAATGTCTTCTTTTCCTTCTTTCCTCAGACATGGATGGAACCTCAATGTCCTCCCAAATAACTCTGGATCCATACTGAGGCATCTGGGTGCTGTGCCTGGTGAGAATTATTTTCATAGCACAGTCTGTACGTTGCTCTACAAATGTTGATAGTCTGTGTTATCTTGATCACTCCAGATGTTTGAGCCGTTTCTGTTGTTCTTAATGTTTCTGTCTCACTTAACCTTCCTGTCTCTACAGGGGTGACCATTCCCTGGCTAAACATTGGCATGGTCTTTTCTACCTCATGCTGGTCTCGAGACCAAAATCGCCTTCCATATATTGATTACTTACACACTGGTGCTGATTGCATTTGGTAAGTATGCGCAGAGGCGTTGTCTCGTTGTAAGTGTGTGCACCAAAAATTTGTTAATATGGTAAAAATGTGTAAAATTAGACGAGAGAACTTGAATAAAGGAAAACTAAGTGAAAAGTTTGAAACTGATGTCTGTGTGTGTGCTCGGACAGGTATTCTATCCCTGCTGAGGAGAAGGCTAAGCTGAACAAGGTGGTCCATACACTGCTTCAGGCCAATGGCACGCCAGGACTAGAGATGCTGGAGAAGAATATCATGGTAAGTCTATAAAAATCCATTCACGTATATTTTAACTGGAAGGAAGCGATGCTTTTGATCTTAAAACTTTGCAGAGTCACTTGGAAATGTAACGCCGTTTATTTCACTCTTCCAGATATCTCCAGAGGTGCTGTGCCGTGAAGGCATCAAGGTTTATCGTACTGTCCAGCGGAGTGGCCAGTTTGTGGTCTGCTTCCCCGGTGCCTTTGTCTCTAAAGTGTGCTGTGGCTACAGCGTGTCAGAGACGGTGCACTTTGCCACACCACACTGGATGAACCTGGGTTACCAGGCCGCAAAGGTCAGCATATAAATCAGGGCCAACAAAGCTGAACCAAAGGCTATTTCGATTAATAATGACACATTTTACATCACTGTTTGTTTTTATTTTGCAACAGCGCTGTGGATTGCAGCCGTTAAAGATTCAATTTGGGTGGAGGTGATTAACACTGAAATGAACTTGATTCAGCCGGTGTTTTGACCTTTGAGTTCTGTTTCATGTTTGTGAGCGTGAGAGAGCTCCCGAGTAAACCTTTGGCTCGTTGGACTTCATTATAGCTGTAATAGAGGAGAAGAAAATGTTCCCCATTGTCATTATGGGCATAACAGTGATGGAAGTACATCTACCTTCAGCAATGCTATCATACCCACAGCCACATTAAGATTACCCTTCGGGGTAATGTGACATTCATAAAATGTGCTGCACTGTGGAGCACTGCCTGAAACACGCTCTTGCAAATTACAAACATTTTTAGTGAGGAATCACAGGAGAGGACGAGAAACATTGATCTCTGTGCAGAGACCTTGGTTACACTACAAATATTCTCTTTGTTATACACTAAAGGACATTGTCAGCATTTTTGGAGTATATTAGTCCACGCCTTTATATTTTGGCTGAAAGCTGGACAAAAATGGATATTAAATGGCTGATTTTTTGTTTGTTTTTTTCCACTCACAGGACCTGAAATGTCGTTGTATAGCCAAACCATTCTCAATGGAGAAGCTACTGTATCAGATCGCCACAGCTGAGTCCAAGAGGGACAACGGCCTACTCCTCACCACCATCTCCACCCTTCTCAAAGACCTCAGGTATGATGCAACAACTCATACAAATGACAAACATGGCAAAGCTACAAATCCAGTTTTATTAGATTTCTAAAGATTGCTACATCAAACACTAATTCAGTCCTCTTTTAAAAGGTGTGCCTATTATTTATCAAACTTCTGGGTTTTGTTTGAGTCCATTTATGTTCATAAGATAGATGTGGTCTAATTCACCTTATAATGACTAAATGTACTTTTGTTGTAAAGGAAGAGGAATAAATGGTGATTGAAGTTGGCTATAATACTATTATATCCATTGTGTTACTGTACTGAGATCTGAGTAAGTGCCATTCTCTGAAAGCTCCACTCTGATAGTTTCCCCTTGATAGCAGCAAACTTACTTCGTTTGTTGTGTCCATCAGGAACATAGAGATGCGCCAACGTCAGGAACTTTACAAGGCAGGTTTGCTCTCCTCTGCCCGTTATGGCACACACGATGGCAGCCTGGGACCCATCGAGGGACGTAAGAAGCCTCGCGGCAAATGGCTGACACTGGAGTCCTCAGAGAGGCGCTGCCAGATCTGTCAACATCTCTGCTACCTGTCCATGGTGAGAGCACAACACCCAGGGGTTTAACATGACAGTGTGTCAAATGTTAAATGGTTTGGGTTCAGTTTACCTGCAAAGGACTTCCTTCCTTCCTTCCTTCCTTCAAGTCAACATATTCATCCTAAATATTTATAAATGAAATCCTACATCTGGTTAGTGTGGCTGTAGTTGTAGGTCTCTTACTACTCGACCTGCTTTAGTGATAATGTTTCGTATAATAATAGTACCTTTTTTGTTGTGCTGGAGGCCAGGCTTAGGCTACGTTCACACTGCAGGTCTTAATGCTCAA